GGGGGGGGGGGGGGGATATTAAAATGTGTACACACATGCAACAATGGATGATGGAGTTACTAAAAGTTTCAGCAGCATACTCAGACATACTAGGTAACACATATTAGTTTGAAACAAACCACACAACAACAACAACAATAACAATAAAAGACGCCAAAACGGAAAATAATTAAAAGTAAGAAACGAAAAATCCCAGACGTGCAAAATATTTTTTCGCAAAAGTGATATTAATTTCGTATTTGTATGTGTATGAAGTACTATTTACTAATTTGTTATATTGCCAAAAAGCAGGCTATGGTTGGGTTAATCGGGAGATGTAATTTAAGTTTGTCAACAGTGCGGTAATATATCGCCTTTGGGCTAATTTAAATATTAAATTTGTTAAATAGTTATAGATTTGTTTTAAAGTCGAAACAGTTTAACTTGGTTATATGTAGTTGTAAGTGTAGTTATAGATTTTGCGCTAGCATTCGTAGATATTTTAGATGTTATGCAGATGTTTATCTGCATATGTATGTATGTGCATATATATATATATATTAGTAGTTTTATATGTGTAAGTAGCTGGTAGGTTTTGTATGGATTATAAATGTAATGTTGTGTATACTTAGATACTCTTAGCTAATAAGTATACATGCGAATAAAACCACAATAAAAACATTTGGGGAGTTGCAGTCAATTTCGGTTACCATTTGGCTTTTGCATCTCCGATGTTTTTTTCATACTATTTTATGTTATACCACCAATTGAGAGAAGCTTGCCAAATTTTTTTGTCCATCCCTTTTCGAGATATCGATTGAAAAAAAATCTTCTTGGTTTTTAAAAGCCCACAACTTTGCAAAGATTTCAAATTTTATTAAATAATTTGTTTTCAAAATACTCTCGCAATATAAATTTGAGAAAATTTTCATAACCTTATTTCTCTAAAATTTTCATAGAATTTAAATTTTTTTTAGATAAAGTGTGGATTTCCAAAAAAATACGTACTGATCGCTTTTCTGGAAAATTTTTTATAGCCTATTTCTATAATGGGATAACAGTGGGATCTATTTTTATCGAATCTTTAAAATTATGGAAAACTGACAAAATTTGTCCAACTCAATGCCAAGAATTTTCACTTCATCTAATCAAAATTACAAAAAGAAAAACGGAGAAATTCTCTACCTAATTCAATGATTCTCTTTTTTAACTCATGCAATGCAATATTTTTTACTTTTTGATTAATCTGATTTGGCGCAGCCAGAGAAAAACCATCCATTTTTTAAATGCCGTTTTGCATTTTTAATTGGCTTTTGTGTCTCCAAATTTTGATCAACATTTGTTATGCTACCAGTTGATTACTCTGATTTTTCCAATTTGTTTGGTCCAACCGTTTTCGATATACTGATTTTGGAAAGAAAAAACCTTCCATTCTTTAAATGCCCATAACTTTGAGAGAAAAGGGTCGCCTGCAACCATTTTTTTTTAATTTTAATTTTTAATAGACTTTTGGAATGTAAAATCGGAAACAATTTCAAACCCCTATTTTTAAAAAATTTTTTAATTGTTAATCAAAATTTTATATTAAAAATTTGAAAATCGCAAAGAAATTTTATTTATTATTAAAAATTGTATAGAAATACGGGTTTGAAACTTTTTTCGATTTTATGTTCCAAAAGTGCTTAGAAAATTAATGGTTAAAAAAAATGCCCCAATAGGCCCTGTTTTCGCAAAGTTATGGACATTGTAAAAAAGCAATGCTTTTTTCCAAAATTCGGTATCTCGAAAACGGCTTGGACAAAATAAGCTGGAAAAAAGTCAAGGAGATCTCTCACAACTGGTACCACAACCATTTATGTAAAAACTCAGAGATGCAAAAGCCAAACTGTGTGCTACACGAGCACACCAAATACCTGAATAATTTATAAATCTCTGCATAGTTTGATTTTTGTTATAATTTAAGGAAAAAATACATTATACTCGTAAAAATTTGATGCAATATATGTATGTATGTTAGGACGGGTCAATTTGTATGGGAGATTTTTTCGAGTGTGCACGTATAGCACAGAATAATTCTATAAACAAATTTGCAGAAGAAATCATAGGTCTAAAATCTATTTATAGTTTGCCAGATTGAGAAAAGCAATTAAATTTTTGCTAATTTCGAAACCTATTTCCGCAGTTTGGCAAACTCCAAATTGATTTTACACCCATGGTTTCTTCAGCAAATTTGATTAGAGGCATACGTAGAATCTTCTTATGTTATACGCGCATAGTAAAAAAAAAAATCGACCCGCCTTAATGTATGTACCAAATATATATCTATGTAGTTTGCATACATGTTAAATAAAGTAAATATGTTTATTAGCAGAGCTTAAAGTATTTTTAGAGAAGCATTTTTGAAGTGTAAAATGAAATCGAAGAAAAAAGAATCCAAATGCTAAAATTTATTGAACGCAATGAGGCATAAAAGAATTTTTATAAATATGTACACACATATAAAGATAAAATATAATCATAATATGTATTACTTAGTAAAGATGTATGTATTTGCATTTAAATGTTTTTGGAACAAACGCACAGTTGTGTAAATGAATGTACTTTTGAAAAAAAAAAAAATCAATATTTATTTAAAAGTACAGTACGTTTTAGTATTAGCTTATAAAAAAAACATAAATATAAAAAGAAAAACGAAAAAAGTAAATAAATAAATAGGTACCACAAATGTACCTTAAACAGTCCACAAAAGCAAACATTTAATTTCGACTTCAATTACGAACTCAGCGACCCACAAGCTTCAAAAAAGATTTACGGTGATTTCGTTTCTTCCAAAAAATGTTCTACAGTGCAAAATGTGTTTGATATTACACTCAACCCTCTAAAAGGGCATGTTTTTGCCCACTAGTCCTTGTTGGGCTAACAGAGAAAGGGGCAATCAAAAGGCAACATTCTTTGGTAGAAACGAAAACACCTTTAGTTTGACAGGTGAAAATAAAAGAAAAAAAGAAAATTTGGCCCGGCTCATAGTTGACAAAATAAAGGTTTCAATAACTTTCAGCAATGTCAATTTAACAATGACCGAAAATAACCATCAAATAACAGTATTTTTATCTTTAGATCATTATTTTGTGATTTCTATATTTTTCGATAATTTTTAACAGTTATATTGGAGAGTGCATTTTTATGACCGTTTTAAATCTTTTGTGTTCGTAAAAAAATGAATCTGAAAATAGCATTTATGGTGTATTCGAAAACAAAAAATTCACAAAATAACGATTAAATTTGAGCGAAAAAAATAAACATCGAAATTTAACAATTATTTTTGATGGAAAACATAAAAATCAAAAAAAAAAAATCGTTGAATTTGATTATATGAATAGAAATTCGTTTGAAACGGTTAAATTCCGATTTTTACTATTAAAAAACCATCACCTTTACCATCCTTGATTTTTAAACATTTTTAAAGGCCTGTAGAGAATTTGGTTGGCTTTCACGCATTGTTGCTGAATTAAAAACAAAAACACTAGTTTTTGAAAATGTGCTATAACATACCTCTGTTCCATACGCTTGCCGGGCTGGGTCCGGCAATTAAAGAGTAAGAAAAATTACTCTCACATAAATTTCAGAATGTGCCAAAAGTTCCCAGAGCGTGTGGAACGCAGAAAGCTTGATTTAGTGCCCGGAATTGAGAAATCAGCTGAGTTTTGTTATTTGTGATGTTACGAAAGTAGATCAATTATACCGAAGAATAAGACATTTACGATCCAAAAGTGGAAAGTATTGGCTCTCTATTACCATTTTTCTAGCGTAAGGAATGCTATCTGGGCTGTTTTAGGTCCCAGAGGGCTCGTGTGGAACAGGGCTATTATAGAGACCCATATTTTTTTTCCTAAATCCATACATACGCAAACATAAATATACATATAATCTAGTTGTATAATAAAGGACATGTACCTACATTAGGGTGGCCTTTAAAATAACAACATCTAAATTTTGTATAGCTCCCCCTTCATTTTGTTCTACGTAGAAAATAAAGACATCCACGAAATTTTAAAGCTTAAAAAAAATTTTTAATCGCAAACAGTTTACAAAATGTTTACATACCTTAAATCTGATAAATTTCACTTATTATTGAAACTTATCCATATAAATTAATAAACTCACTGATTTATAGCTTGGTTACAATAAAAATTTTGTAGATTTTTTGCAATTTCAGAAAATGTAGTTTTCTTCAAACCCAAATTTTTTTGTTTGAAACTTTCGCGGATGTCGTGTACGTCCAACAAAATATAGGGGACCCAATGATGTTGATGTTTTTAGGACCACCCTAATTTACATCATGAACATTTTTGTATCAAGCTGAAAGGATCCTAGGAAAAATAAAATACTTAGACTCGAACCACAACCAAATAACGAAAAAAGATATTAGGAAAAGTCTGCATACTTACCAAAAGAATTACAGAACAATAAATGAAAAAATACATACAACCAACAGCAAAGTATACAAAAATCTATTTCGATGTGTACTTGTAACGAACTTTCATATAAAAAGAAATTTTGCTTTATAAATCTTTGCAGATACGAGTATTAATTGAGAGCTCAGAAAAATGCCAAACAAAAGCCTGGAGTGACTTTGAATATTCCTGCTTGCTTTTGAGTTAATTGATACTAAGAATGCTAGCAGAATATTTCTTGTAGAATGCAAAATGAGTAAGGAATTTAATAATTTGCTCGAGTAGTTTAGTAGATTGTTTTGTAAGAACTTCTTGTAAGAATATTGAAAAAGTTGGCTTTGATTAAGATGAATTGGTTTTTGAAGACTTACTTTTGAAGAAATTAGTATTAAGACAAGGGGTTTGTGAAATGTGCGTAGGTACTTATAACTACAAAAACAATAAATCTGTACAAAAATGCTCAACAACCACTTTTATAAGTTGCAAAAAATAATCAAAAAGAAGA